GACTCTGTCTCATTCCAGGTGAATTATCTTGTCAAGTTACTTGGTGTGCCATTGAGATTCTTTTTCCCCATCTCTAAGTTGGAGAGAGAGTATCAGATGCCAGCAAGTTGGGAGGTTGATAATTAAAAATGAGGAGATCCCTTGCTGGAGCCTGATAGTGGGACGCTTTTGTCCTTGGAATGGACACTGCCACCTGCCACGTAGGCGGTGACCACAGCAGCCTGTCCAGCCTTCCACTGAGGCAGGCGTGACTCTCTTTTCTCAGAATGTGAAGAGTACAAGGACATCATAGACTCTGTGCTGAGGGATGATGGGCAGTTCATAGAGGAGAAGCTGACAGAGAAGTTCAGGCAAGCTGAGGACGACCTCAGGTGAGCAGATGCCGTGGGGACAGGCAGGTGGGCAGGGCTCTGATCTCCGAAGGGCAGCAGTTCAGCTGGGAGAACCAGGAGACAAGCTGGGCCAGGAGCAGGACAGGCATTGACATGGCAGGCACATTTCACACCGACACTCATTAAGCAGAACAGTAATCTTAGCAGGTTATGGCTGCTACTGTTTCTGAGCTTTGTTTACTCTTTCTATAACAACTAATCATTGAGTCAAAATTTGCACATCCAAAATTAATTAAAAGAAAGTGAACCACCCAGCAGCATTTAGTACAATCTATCCCACTGACCCCTAGAGTCACCTCCTGGCTGACTGCAGCAACTCATTCGTTCAGTCAGAACTGCCTTCTTGGCCTGTCATTCTTTTCTTCTTTCATCTTTACAATTCACCCCATCTGCACCTGGCCACATTTCTGTGCATGGCTCTGTTCCAGTCACTGCCCGATGCACTATGTGAATTTTCACATAGAAATGTCCATGACTAAAGTCAGGAACTGAAAGGATATCCTTAGAACCGATTTGGGAAGACACTGACTTTTGTTTACAGAAGAAAAAAATGAATGGAACATCATAGAGGAACTCACAGGAGCTCCCTCTGATACAGGGAAGCCTCCAAGGTTGAAGCACTTCTCCTGTCTTGGCCTCCCAAGTAGATGGGACTACAGGTGTGCAACACCATGCCTGGCTAATTTTTGTATTTTTAGTAGAGACAGGGTTTCAGCATGTTGGCCAGGCTGGGTTTGACCACTGATCTCGGGTTCTGCCCACCTCAGCATCTCAAAGTGCTCAGATCACAGCCATTGGGTCACCATGCCCTGCTTTTAAAAATAAATGAATATTTATTTATTATTATATTATATATACATAATATGGCAGCCATGGTCTGTTGCAGAGAGGAGGATTTCCTGTTCCCTCTTAAACGGAATCTCTCCTTTGCTTTCTGGGACTGCTACCTTATGCCTCCTGTCAAAACCATTTGGGAATTCCTGGAGGTCAATCCCTCTTGGTTTAACCTTTGTCATCTCTAAATATATAGATATGGATATGGTATAGACGTATACATACAGACACACGCACACACAGACGCACACACACACACACTACTCTGGACCACAGGCATTTTCCCAAACATGTTGTGACTTTCTGCTTGGGGGGCTCCTTGAGGACATTCTCACATAATCCACCATTGCAGTATTAGAACTGATCACTCATCCCTTTCCGTTATTAAACCTTCTCTGCTATCTCACCGTAGGCAATATAAAGCCCTGGTTCACTCTCAGGCAAAGGAGCTGACCGAGTTACGGGAGAAGTTACGGCAAGGGAGAGATGCCTCCCGCTCACTGAATCAGCATTTCAAGGCGCTCCTCACTCCTGACCACCATGACAAGTCCCAGAGTCAGGACCTCCGAGTGCAGCTGGCTAAGCGGCACAGGCTGGCAGAGCGTTATGTCAACAAGCTCAGCCCAGGTAAGGTGGGCACAGGCCCTGATGACACACAGCCCGAGGCTTATGAAAGTCCCCAGACCACCACACCTCCACAATGATAGTTTTATTTCTTTCCACTAAAAATTCCCAACCATGACATGACCAGGACTTCCTGGGCAAAAACTGAGATGGAAAACCCATGGGGTTGGAGGTCACAGGATTGCAAATGTCTCCTCATTTCTTGCTGGAACGTGGTCTTTGGGGCAAGAGGCAGCATCCATGCAGTTTCATAGGACAGGAAGGAGGCCGTGGCAGGAGGCAGCTTGTTAGAGTCAAACGAGCCCTGGACTAAGAATGAAGTTTCCAGGCCCTATCTTCAGCAGTGTCTTTAGCAACTGTGGGGAACCGATTAATTTATCCTTCCTGAGTTCCTGTCTCTACATCTGTAAAGGCAGACAAGTTGTATCTGGCATTCAAATGTGGGAACGCTTACAACTATATTTCACGATGAGATAAAGCCCCTGTCTGTGTGGTGTTGGAGAAGGCACTTGGTGTGGGAGCATTTGGTGGTAGGAAGCAGTGTATTTGAAGCACTCCACATGGAGAGTGTGTTCCCGGATAAGACAGCTGAAGCCTCCTGGAGGGCCCAGAAAGTCCCCGATGTGTACAGCACTGTGGGAGAAGTAAGTTTGCCCTGTCGTTAAGAGAAAGATACAGGTTTTAATGTAAGCTGTGACAGGACACAGAGCCAGTGCCCGGGTATCAGAAGTGAGGCAGGATTGGGGAGACAGCTGCTGAAACTTAGAGAGAGGCTGGGCAAGACTCCAGTAATATGGGGAGCAAGATGTCCTTTCACTATTTGGCCACATCTTGATGGTGACCCTCCGGATCAGAAACACATTGCCTCATGGATCAGGAAAACCTGTCAGGTTAAAGATAAAATATGAGAGTTTTCAGTACAATGCAGACCCATATATGCATGTTCGTGTCTCAGTACACATAGGGCTGACTGTGATTCCAGTGGGTGAAGTGGGAAATATCTGAATAGATGCTTCTGTAGTTCCAGAAAGTGATGAAGAGGAGGATGAAGATGGGACAGATGAGGAGGTCGAGAAAATATGGGAATCAGCTGCCCTGAGGTAACACTAAAAATTCAGGAGCGGGTAATGGGTGGTGAAACATGGAAAAGGTCTCAGAAAGAACATAAGGGAGGTGAGGGTAGTCACAGATTCCAGATGCAGGATACAGACAGCTGCACAGTGCACTGATTTCACAGGGTCACCAACGAGGAAATAGCCTCGTTAACATGCTTGTCCTTAGCACGACCCTCGATGACCTCACTAACGCTAGGGACTTCCTGCACACACAGACGAGACCTGTCGTCACCTGTAGTGAAGCCAGGATGAGATGCAAAGTCGCTTTCTACATGGTTGTCTTTAGGCTCTTGTTAGGGAAGATAAACAGCAAAGAGGCAAGAAGCAGAGGAATTAGGAAGAATCTAGCCAAGTTAAACACCAAGAAAAGTACCTGGAAAAATGTATATTTCATGTCACAATGTGAAAATGTAAAAAAATCTAGAAGGCACACCATCTCCGGAGTCTACCGTGGCTCAGACACCTGTATTTCCTTGGCCACAATATGTGAAATACAACCCAGCTTAGACACACGGCGTAGCAGCTCTCTTTGGTTCTGTGTGTGTGCTGTGAAGACTGTCCCATACAGAAGCAGCTGAGTCTCTGTCTTCCTCAGCTCCTGTCTGTCCAGTGCAATGAACACCAGCTGCTCTCTTCCTGTCTGGTTCAGATGGAAGCCATGCTCTGTTGCAGAGAGAGGAGGGTTACCAGTTCCCTCTTAAATGGAAACCCCCTTTGCTTCCTGGGACCACTACCTTATGCCTCCCGTCAAAACCAGCTGGGAATTCCTGGGGTCCAATCCTTCGTGGTTTAACCTTTGTCATCTCAAAATATATAGATATAGATATAGATATGCTGAAGATACACACACACATACACACACACACACACACACACACACACACACACACACAAACACAGACATACAAACATACATCTGGACTACAGGCATTTCCCCAAAAATGTTGTGACCTTCTGCTTGGAGGGCTCCTTCAGGACATTCTCACATAAACCTCCGTTGCAGTAATGAACTGATCACTCATCCCTTTCCATTATTAAACCTTCCCTGCTATCTCACCGTAGGCAATATAAAGCCCTGGTTCACTGTCAGGCAAAGGAGTTGACCCAGTTACGGGAGAAGTTACAGGAAGTGAGAGATGTGCCCCACTCACTGAATCAGCATTTCATGGCCCTCCTCACTCCTGATGACCGTGACACGCCCCAGGGTCAGGACCTCCGAGTGCAGCTGGCTAAGCGGCACAGGCTGGCAGAGCGTTATGTCAACAAGCTCAGCCCAGGTGAGGTGGGCACAGGCCCTGATGACACACAGCCCCAGGCTTATGAAAGTCCCCACACCTCCACACCCGCACAATGATAGTTTTATTTCTTTCCACTAAAAATTCCTAGCCATGACATGACCAGGACTTCCTGGGCAAAAACTGAGATGGAAAACCCATGGGGTTGGAGGTCACAGGATTGCAAATGTCTCCTCATTTCTTGCTGGAACGTGGTCTTTGGGGCAAGAGGCAGCATCCGTCCAGTTTTAAAGGACAGGAAGGATGATGTGACAGGAGGTAGCTTGTTAGAGTGAAAAGAGCCCTGGGCTAAGAATGAGGTTTCCAGGCTCTATCTTCAGCAGTGTCTTTAGCAACTGCGGGGAACCGATTAATTTATCTTTCCTGAGTTCTTGTCTCTACAACTGCAAAGGCAGACAAATTGTCTCTTGCATTCAAATGCGGGAACACTTCTGAGTCTATTTCACCGTGAGATAAAGCCCCTGTCTGTCTGGTGTTGGAGAAGGCACTTGACATGCGGGCATTTGGTGGTAGGAAGCCATTTTTTGAAGATCTCCATGTGGAGAGTGTGTCTTGGAGGTCCCACAAAGTCCCCGATGTGTACAGTACTGTGGGACAAGTTAGTTTGTCCTGTCTTTAAGAGAAAGATACAGGTTTTAATGTAAGCTGTAACAGGACACAGAGCGTGGGCCTGGATATTAGAAATGAGGCAGGATTGGAGAGTCAGCTGCTGAAGCTTAGAGAGAGGGTGGGTAAGTCTCCAGTAACATGGGGAGCAAGATGTCTTTTCACTATTTGGCCACATCTTGATGGTGACCCTCCGGATCAGAAACAATTTGCCTCATGGATCAGGAAACCTGTCAGGTTAAAGATAGAACATGAGAGTTTTCAGTACAATGCAGACCCATATATGCATGATCGTGTCTCAGTTCACATAGCGCTGAGTGTGATGGCGGTGGGCGAAGTGGGAAATATCTGAATAGATGCTTCTGTAGTTCCAGAAAGTGATGAAGAGGAGGATGAAGATGGGACAGATGAGGAGATCGGGAAAGTACAGGAATCAGCTGCCCCCAGGTAACACTGAATAATCAGGAGCGGGTATTGAGTGATGAAATATGGAAAAGGTCTCAGAAAGAACATAAGGGAGGTGAGGGTAGTCACAGATTCCAGATGCAGGACACAGACAGCTGCAGAGTGCACTGATTTCAGGCACTCACCAACAAGGAAATAGCCTCTTAACATGCTTGTCCATTGTCTTCATGGTACCTGTAAGCACCACCCTCGATGACGTCACTAGCCCTAGGGACTTGCTGCACACAGCTAGAATGCCTGTTGTCCCCTGTAGTGAAAGCCAGGATGAGATGCAAAGTCACTTTCTCCTTGGTTGTCTTTAGGCTCTTGTTAGGGGAGATAAACAGCAAAGAGGCAAGAAGCAGAGGAATTGGGAATCATCTAGCAAAGTTAAACACGAAGAAAAGTACTTGGAAAAATGTACATTTCATGCCACAATGTGAAAATTTAAAAAAATCTAGAAGGCGCACCATTTCCAGGGTCTACCATGGCTCAGACACCTGTATTTCCTTGGGCACAGTATGTTAAATACAACCCGGCTTAGACACACGGTGTGGCAGCTGTCTTTGGTTCTGTGTGTGTGCTGTGAAGACTGTCCCATACAGAAGAAGCTGAGTCTCTGTCTTCCTCAGCTCCTATCTGTCCAGTGGAATGAACACCAGCTGCTCTCTTCCTGTTCGTTCCCATGGCAGCCATGCTGTGTTGCAGAGAGAGGAGGATTGCCTGTTCCCTCTTAAACGGAACCTCCCCTTTGCTTTCTGGGACCACTACCTTATGCCTCCCGTCAAAACCAGCTGGGAACTCCTGGGGTCCAATCCCTCGTGGTTTAATCTTTGTCATCTCTATCCTACCTGGCTCATCAGGGAGGCGCAGAACGCTGAGGAAAACGAAGTCCCTCAGGACTCACTGGAGGAATGCGCTGACCTTTGTTCAAACAGCGACGGCCCTTCTGACTCCAACCAGCCTCACAGGAGCGCCGAAGTCACATTTGAGGAAGACAAAGTCGTCTCTGCTCTGGCTGTAGACAGTGACAGCTCTCAGGATGAATGGGAGGATGCTCTATGCATTCTCCCAGGTAGGCTCCATACTCTTTGTCCCTCGTACCTCTGTCTAGGCTGAGGAAGATCAGTTCTGAGCATAGGCTGTATACACACACATTGGTTTGGATCAGAAAGCGGGATGGAGCTGGGGGCAGTGGCTCACACGTGTAATTTCAGCACTTTGGGAGGCCCAGGTGGGTGGATCACAGGAGTTCGGCAGTTCAAGGTTCGTTTGGGAAATGTGGTGAAATCCACCTTTTCAAAGAATACGAAAAGTTACCCAGGCACGGTGATGCCTATAGTCCCTACTACTCGGGAGCCTGAGGTCGGAGAGTCATCTAAGCACAGGAAGTTGAGGTTGCACTGAGTCATGACTGCATCACTACACTCCACCCTGGGTGACAGAGAGGGACTCTGTCTAAAAAAAAGGAGAAAGGAAAAAGGAAGGAAGGAGGGAAGGAAGGGAGGGAGAGAGGGAATGAGGGAGGGAGGACTAGGATGGAATATTTAATACAGATATCAGTGGGCCCAATGGCTTTCCATTTCTCCCTGGACCCAGTATCAGCTTACTGGACCACAGCCAGGTGTGACAAATTCATAGCCACCTTTGTACAGGAGGTGTACAGGAGGTATCTGTCAGCCTTCTAGCCCAGTTTCTATGTCTCTTGTCACCTGTAATGATGTCGTCATGTCCCTGCACACTGTCCATGGAGTTTCTATGCTTGTGGATGGCCACTCACAGCCTTGTCTACGTATGTGGAGATGACGTTTTCCTAGTTTCACTCTTCTTGGCCTCAGTCTTGGTCTCCTTTAAGTCAGCTTGTCTTAGCTATGCAGTCACCTTGACACCAGGACAAATATAAATATAAATTTAACATTTCATCGAGGAGGATATATGATGAGGTAAATCAATATTGCAGCAACATTCTGGTGAGTAGTTAGGGTCAGTTTTGAAGATGATGGGGACAAAGTTTTCTTTAATTGTTTGCACGGACTTAGGTCAGAGGATATGTGACTATGATCTATCAGATGAGGGAGATTCTGTCCCATGGGTCTGGAAAGCAGGCTGAGCTACTTCTGATGAGACTTGATCTAGAGAGCATTAGAACCTGCCTGTCAGAATATCATTTTTTCCACTGAGGATATTTATGTCCCTGTGCTGTGACTGGACACTGATTTAGTCCTGTGTGAAGTGTGACTTGCTGACTGTGACCTGCTCTTCTGAATTTGTTTCCAGGAAATCAAAGTGATCATGAGGAAGAGGAAGGGAAAGCCCCAGTGCCCGCCAGGTAACTGGATTTGTGGGGTGTTAGCTAAAAGTGGCACGTGGAGACCGGGGATCCTGGGAAAATAGGAGAGAAAGTGATGACTAGAACTGTCTTACCCATTCATCCAACTGCAGATTACCCCTTTTACAATGTTGTCTTCTTTACTGTGGTACTTGAATAGGTTTTAATTTCTTCATCCTTTGCAAACATCGGAACTGACAGTCAGTTGAGCTAGGTGAACTGACCACACTCAGGATTTCCTGATCTCACCTGTTGTCTGCCTCTTTGGCATTTCCATGTTTGCAAGTATTTGCTAGCAGGAAAGTGAATGAAAACAACTCATGTCATGCTCACAGGTTTGAGAACAAGTGAGGTTGGGGATACAGGAACCCTTTCTGTGAAGATTCAAGAACCTGTATTCATTTAGCCTCTGATGCTAATTTCAACAAAATGTGTGTCAAAGTGCTGAATGCACTGTGTCCTGGCAGTTTCCCACAGGGATCCCTCCAGCTGTTCCTCCCCAGCTCATTGTCTGCCCAGTGCACTGAGCACCTGCCGCTCTGTCTCCTGCTCGACACAGGGAAGGACGGTTGTGTCTCTCTGAGTGGACTGTACTTGCCTTCCTCTGGCCTCTCCTGTGGTCCTCCCTATAGAACCAGGTGAGCACAGTGGCTTTGGTCCTGTCTGCTGATTATCTTCTGTCTTCTTCACCCCAGGCTGACCCAGGAGCTACTAGAGTGGAAGGAGCAGGAAGCCC